GGTAAGGACAAATCTTCTCAGAATTATGGCAAACAGACTCCTTCCTCTCAACAACATTTCCTAAAGACTGTTCATGAACGATGCAACATGATTTGCAAATATAATTCCTGTGGAATGAGATAGGATTCCTATGTGAACCGCTTCTGGAGAACAAAAAAGCAACTGTTCAAAGATATACTCTTAAAGATTTATGTCTGGATTGAAGCATGAAGTTTTAGTGTTCGGAGATGGTGCATAGCTATAGGCCAGTATGAAACAAAGGATTTAAAAATTAACTGTATTGTTCCTAGCAAACAAGTTCTAGAAACAGAAAGCAGGGCAATAAAAAAAAATCCAGTCACCTGGCATTATGATACCAGTTGTAGAACAAATATTGCATCTAGGTGTAAACCAATATCATCTGCATGAGTATGGATTTAAAAACAATCCAGGTGGCAATTGTGGGGATGTGAACTGCTTGGGATTTGATTTACCAACCAAGCATTAAGAATTTCGATTTTTTTTTTTACATTTAGTTACACAAACCAATAGTCTCGTAGACGTGATCTAATGGTCACCTTTAAATAATAAAGTCGTTTGTGTCAATGTTTTACACGAACCAACTGTAGCACCCACTTCTGTAGTTATTGGCAGGGGCGTAGCTGCCTATACGCAAATACGCAAGTGCGTACACAGCATTTTCAAAAAAAAAAAAAAAAAAAAAAATAGGAGAGAGAGAGGATTTGAAGAAAAGATCTCAGTATCATCCAACAAATATTCGTATTTCAAATTAATTTGTGACATACTGTTTCTATTTGAATTCTATATTATATTATCACGACTAAATAATAAGATTTTAAATCCTTAAATAAATCATTGCCAAATCAAAATAAATAATTTATTAATTTGTAATTGGTCTTTAACAAATTGATTTTTTAAAGATCGTTTAGAAATTGAATTTCAAACACGTCGTTGGATGCTTGATACTATAGTATAGGAATTAAAATACGATATTTTTTGTTAATGATTAACATTTAGTATTCGGGTTATATAGAAATATATTATACCAATATATCGGTTGAGCCTAATCTACTAATCAGTTTCCATGGAAGTATTAACTTTGAGTTAAAACAATAAATATAACTATTTTTCTGAACAAGAGCTAAATGACTTAATTTTTATTTTGCAACGAAATGAATGAAATATTTAGTAAAACTCAGGAGGTTCTGGGCCCTCGTCACCAGATGGCACGTAGTATCAGGTGGGTGACGTGCCCCCCCCCCCTACCCTCCGAATCTAACTTTTTGGAAAGTTGGAACCGAACACCTCCCCCCGATCCCCTGCCGTTCTCTGCGTACACTTCATTTCCATGCTGGCTACGCGCCTGATTGGCATATTCGATGGAATACACATTTTTAACTAAAGTTACATGTAGATTTATCCATTAAATTCCATACCTCATTCGCACATGGTTCGTTTACCCGCACTGCGGATTTTACTCGTGTCGAACACCAACGAATGCAAATAAGATCCAGTGTGACGTAAAAAAAAAAAAACGTCATAGCAGTCCAATATCTTATCAAAGGATCCAATCTCACTCAGCTGTCTAACATCGATTTTTTTAAGACCACTGAGACATTGGAAATGTTAGGATTTTAAGTATAGATTTATAAAGGAAACAATTTTCAAAGGTATAACAATATCTCGTTATTTATGTTTTACGTACTTTCTTGGAAATCTTCCCTACACATGAGGGGAGTCATACAGAAAATTGACACAGTATTGCAATACAGGGAAAGAGCAAAAGGCAGGCAAATACTCTGTCGTCCGATGGGGAAAAAATTATGTATAATTTCACTAAATGCGCAGAAATAAAACTTTGAAAAGAGTTATATATTTGTCTAGAATATTTCATATTCCATACATTTATCTAAGCTACAGTTTTATTAATTGCTTTCGTGCTATAATTGTTGTATTTTCTGCACGCGTATAATGCTAGTGACTAGACATTTGACATGTTAATCCCTATCTCCAGTAATAATATTAATAATGCATCTGTCATATTATAAAACCACCAAAGATTTTTTTTTTTTATAATTTAAGAGAGACTGTTTCACCATTTCCGATGGTTATAGTATTCATGTTAGTGTTTAATGGCTCCATCGTATTAAAGTTTAATATCATCCGTCTTAAGGTTGACGTAGTTTTAGTTGGCAGATAATTAACTCAGATGACAACAATTATTGCTTTTATAAGAAAGAAAGGAGAAAACATTCAATGGATGTAAATATGATACGGTAAAAGAAATACCAAACAAACATGTATTACATTGTTAATTAACGTTTTGTTGAGACCAACTTTAAAATAATGTTTGTTTGCCCTCTTCCGACTCAGGATGAAAAAATTGGGTCGGTAGTACGTGAGAAATTTTGTTCTCAGAAAATTTAGATTTTAGTGCTGAATTTTCAAAATCTATTTTCCAGAATGCATAAAAAAAATTGCTTCCTGGAGGTTAAAAAAAAGTTGTGAGTCTGGTCATTTTTAGCCAGTCGGTCGGGAGAGGGCAACCAAACAATTTTTTAAGGACATACGCAATGTACCTTACCTACTGATAATTTTTCAAGATCAGGCCCGTAGGAAGCAATTTCAGTTTGGGGGGGCACAGCCAAACATTTTTCAGTTGACAGTTGAGGGGGCACTACCAAAAATTTTCTGACAAGCAAAAAAAAAAAAAAAAAAAAAAAGGTCGTCAACTACCAAATATTCCTTGACAAGCAAAAAAAAAAAAAAAAAAAAAAAAAAAAGGTCATCAGGCGGTTTTATTGAGGGGGCACATGCTTATAGTATCTATGTTTACTATAGTAATCTATATATCGGCAAAATTATTGGGGGGGGGGCACGGCCCCCCCGTGCCCCCCCCCCCGGTTCCTACGGCCATGAAGATATTCTTATTTTAAGATCATAGAGCCATCAGATATTCATAGACAACAAATCAGCATGCATTACCAGGGGTTTTGAAAAAAAAATATCAATTGATGAAATTTTTTGTATAATTCAAAGAAAAATATACAAAAATTACTAAACATATATTCTAGATGTTTTGTTTATCCAAACTTTTTTTAGAAGAAGTGTACAACAGCATATATAAACACTAAAATGTAGCACACAGTGCCTTTAAGTATTGGAACTCTTCAACTCCAGGGAAAAAGACAATAAAGTTCAAACTACGTTGCGTATGTCCTTAAAGATGGCCTGATCTACTTTACTCTTGTACAATATTTGATAAACTGCAGTTCAATTTGAATGAAAACACAAATTCCAATACAAAAGAATCTGAAGTTCAAAAAGTGTCAGACAGATAAGTAATTTATGTTGTTTAGGTGTGTTATACTAAATATATTACAATTAAATTACAGTTGCATATAAATATTGGTACTCTGTCTCAAGTACATATGAAACACTATAAATATTTTTATTTATTTATAAATGCATGTATATATTATTTTTAGACAATTTCAAAATACAATGTAGTTAGCAGTAATTTTCGCTAGTAGAGAGCAAAAATGCAGACGACAAGCGGAATGTTACATAAAGCCAGGACCAAATTGAAAGTGGAGTGAACATCATAATGGGTTCCTTTCTTCTTGTTGACAAAGATTAAGCCTTTATCCACGATATGATGTGAAATGAATACAGCTTTAGATCTATAACAGGCTTGTAGATGTGCAAGTAGGCCAACAGGTATTTACTACATATATCTAAGAATCAACTTTTTTTGATCCTTTTGGAAAGGAATTACTTCCCAGGAAATTCCGATTGCTAAAATTAGACTCATATTTTCATTGGTTGTCGTCATGGTGATGACGTCATGATTGCTAGGCTGTTTGATGTGTTTTGGATTCAGCTCATTGTTTCAGCATCAGTTGTTGAGATAAGACGTGATTTTCGCTGAGCGAAGATTTTCTGAAATATTTCATAGCATACAATCGATACAGTCACAGAAATGAACAGTCAGAGCTATAAAAGGGTAATGGTCATATATTTCTTCTTTTGTGGGGAAAAGATTAGTTAAATATGTTGCTAGGGAGAGATATTTAAAACCTCGAACGTTCGACAGAGAGCTTTTTTAATTTTATATAGCTATGTAGGGTCTGTCTATGGGGCTAATACTTTTATTTTAATTTTGCGAAGTTAACATTCAAAAACAAGAATCCGAGGAAGACCAGGACAATCAACGTTTTCAGGCCAAAATATTTGTAATTCTTAATCTAAAGTAGATTTAACAAAATAAAGTTAAATATGTCTACTTTAAAAAAAGATAACATACAATAAATCCACCTGAAAGAATGATTTTCGTGATTTAATGATATGATCAACATTCAACACAGGAAAGGGGGTTTTGAACAGTGAGTAATTCGAGTTGTTTCCCTTTAACCATACAGTACAGTGCTCAATAGGGTTCAAAACTTGTGTAAACAGGCCGGCTTTCACAATTCACTTTTTGGTTCTGGGGTAAGGGCAGTAAAAATTAGGAAAATTAGCGACCTTTTTGGGCATTTTGAAAAAATTATTGTATTTTAAAACTCCTCATACTTTTTTTCTTTTGAATTCTGGTGTTTGCAGAGACATAGGTCAAGGTCAAGTTATTATATATTCAATATCCAAATAATATTGGGAGGTGATGACTACACTGTATATGGAGAAAATGTACCTTTTTTTTAAAACTTGGAAATTGGGCCCTTCAGTGGCCCTAATAGTATAGACCATCAATAGCCCTGGTTTAATTTACATCTTTGAATATCAAAAAAATTTAATTTTATATTATTTATTATTTATATATGTCATCCTTTGATGATACAGAAATATTTTTTTCTTTAGAATTATTGTAAATTGCTGTAAAATAGTAAATCAATGATAAGAATAAAACATTTTTGGTCCACATATACATGTTATGCATCTAAATTTTAGACATGAGGTAGCAGAATTTTTCAATTTTTATTTCTTCTTCATTTCAGAAGAGAATGGATGTTCAGTATCTCAACCCGGCAGTTGCCTCAAGTATTTACAAGAGGCTGGGAGTGGACATCTTGACCACACCCACCACTTTCGGGGGAATTGAGGAGGTCTCAGTTTTGTTATATATGTTATATATAATTGGTGTAGAGAAGTAAGTTAATTAAAAAATATAACTTTCCTTTCATCTCTTTCTTCTCTGGAATATTTCTCTATCTTTCTTCTGATTGTCTTTCAATCCGATCCATTTCTTTTCCAGTATCTTATAAATTTAAACTTAATATTGTATGTCCACCTTTTGTTGAAAGTTTGCATTTGATTTTGACTGAATTCGCAAGAAATGGACCCTCATACATTTGTTATGTATATAATATTTTTTTATGTAACAGGTTGAGCCACCAAGAAAGTGTTATATTCAAGCTGCCAATCAAGCAGTATTTCAAAACACAGGACCCACTCGTAGAGCTGGCAGAGTGGTGCCAAATGGGGTAAGTTACATCAAATAGTGTACTTATATTTCTATATAAAATTTACAAATACTAAATGACCTTTTGAATGCTTTTTTTTTTTTAAAAAAAAAAAGGTCACTACAAAGGGATGTAGTAAGCCCTGTTTGCTACCAAAAATTACACATATAAATCAGTCTAAGCCCTTATCAATATTAGAATCCAGTAATTTAGACAAATGTTAAATATATTCATGTATACACTTATATCTGCATTGTTTTCAGGTGACAAAACCTCTGTTGAGCAATGAACAAATTCAAAAATTCATAACCTCAACAGTTCTTCCTAATGGTCGCCCAGTCTCCAGCACTGAGGAAGTCAACCCTAATGTCACCAGGTGTACTGTGTATCCTTCTCAACCAAGGACAAGGATACAACAACAGGTATGTAGAAAAAGCTTAGACTAATGCATAATTATCTTTAAGTCTCTCCATGTGGTTTATCAGTTTATTATATCCCAAATAAATGAAGTTGGAGGGGGTATATAGGAATCACCATTGTCCATCTGTCCATTTGTCTTTGCAATCATGTCTGGACCATAACTTTGTAACAAAGAAAAATTGGAAGTTCATACATAAAACAAAGATAGCATATAATCTGCCAATATGCCTTGACTTATTCAAGGTCAATCATTAAAGTTTAAGGTCACTGGCAGAAAAAAGTGTAAAATTCTTTCCATAACTTTCTAGTGAAGAGATATTGGAATTTCATGCCTCACATATACCAGTAGTTAGCTTATAACCTAGGGTTGTGTCATGTGTTTGACCCAAGGTCATTTGGTCAAGTTCAAGGTCTTTTAGAAAAATTATATAATTCCTGCCATTCTGATATCTTGAAATTGAAAGCTGTTTTAACTCAAAGATTGCCTATGTCCCAAGCATTTGTAATGACCAAGACCCAAGCTTGTTTTGCCAAGTTCAAGGTCACTAGCAGAAAAAAACGTCCTTAACTCTCTTAATGGAGACAAATGAAAATTTGATATTTACGGAAAGATTGCTTATGATCTTGACTTTAGGTCATTTAGGTAAATTCAAGGACACAGTCAGAAAAAAATTAAAATTTGTATCTCACCCATAACTTTCTAATGCTGAAACTTTACAAGAGTTCATACTTCAAGAAAAGATTACTCATGGCCGGAGGATTTCTTGAACTAGGTCATTTGGCAAGTTCAACGTCACTTTTAGAAATATGTGCTCAGGCACTTTAAAATAAATGTACCAGGAGGTGTAAATTTGTGAGGTTGCCCACAGTTCCTCTAGTTTTCTAATACAAATGTGATTTTGTTTTTCTATAGACTGATCCCACACATGTACAGCCTCAAGTGACCTTAAATGAACTAAGGTCAGGACAGACCCTACCATGGGCATCCATCCGGCAGCAGGGTCAGGATACCATACTGCAAATGCAAACAGAATACAATGATCAGTCTACTGTACAACAGCTGGTCTTAAACAGCCAAGGAAATATTCATCCCTCAGCTCAGAATGCTTTTGCTGTCCAAGTTCTAAACCCGACTTTGACACAGGCAAAGCTACAACAGCCTATCTCTGCAAATGAACTTGTAAGTAAACATATTTAATTTTTAAAAAACACATATTTACAAGATTCAAGGAAGACCCTATTAATTTTGAGGTCAAAAGTCATACACTGCATAAATGATATTCAAATGATAAGTTAAAGGGGCCTAGACACAGAAGTTTGTATTTTCTCAAATTTTCTGTATAACATCATGACTTATATAAGTCATATAATATACAGAAAATTCGAGAAAATATTAACTTCAAATCTGTGGAGACGAAAATTTATATCAAAACTTTCTACAACTTAAACAAGTTCTCTATTGATTTTGGGGTCAAATGGCCAAAGGTCAAGGTCAGAAATTCATGTTTTGACTTAAAGAGGACCCATATTTGTTTTGAGGTCAAAGATCAAGTCACAAAGTATAAAGTAGTTTCAAGATGAAAGCTTTAGATTTGTTTAAGCTTTTGCAATGAAACCTAAGGTGATGATTTTCTATCATTTTCTAAGGACCCCTATTGATTTGAGGACAAAAAAATGAAAGGTCAAGGTCAATTCTTCTTTTCCTTCTTGATCTGATGCTGTAAAAGTAGTTATTTACACTGGATGTTAAGTACGCGTTTGTGACTGTCAAACATTACGCGTGGGTGTAATATACGCGGTTGCACGAGTTGCCGAGAAAAATTTACGCAGCCATCGTAACTAACATCGAGTTGTTCCCCTTTGAAAAGGTCAAAAAATTTATACGCATGAATAAGAAAAAATGAATTAGAAATAATAAGAAACAAACTAAACAAAAAGAATTTATACTGTTGGATTGCTAAATATAATGGGCGATCTGCAGTCAAAAGCGGTGAAGTGTGAACAACTGGTGTACGCTGTATTGTAATTATTTATGCAAGCTCAAACTTCAAAGTGGGATCTATTCTTACCTGTATCTTAGTAGCGAGTGTTGACATATAATTCAATAGGAATGTTTGTAGTGACTCTGAGTTTGTGTAACATTTTAGGACTAATTATTTGAAATTAAGAGGGACGTACACATACATACAAAGGAAATGAAAATGAGTATCGATATTTTGAAGCTCTTTGTTGCGTGACTTTGCTTTAAAATATTTAATACGATGATGCCCTTTTCATTGCACATGTACAATTTAGATAAAAAAATTACGATTTCATCACTGTTTGTGATGTAATTATCTACTCATGTGCGTTCAATACATGTACCACTATTAATATACATGTACGACTGGTTCGACAGGTCTAACAGTATTAGTAATATTCCCAGAATGATTCCAAAACTTTGAAATTTTGTGACCATTCGCACGGGGGTATTTTACGCGGTTCTAAGCTTACCGCGTAAGTAGTGTAAATTTCCCCCACGCTTAAATAACCACTTTTACAGTATTTTAGGTCTTCAGTCCTCTTGCAGAGAACATTAATTTTATGAATCAGCTTGATATATTTTTACACAAATACTGACAATATTTTCTTCAACATTAAAAGAAACACCATCATATTTGAAAATTATCACACTAATGGTAAAATTATTTAATAACCCTTAACTTTGTTGCTTTTTTAAAAACAGATATTACCTACGAATGTTGAGGTTCAAGGCTTTATCCCAACATTTGTGTCAAATGAATGGGTTATGGGAACAGAGCTACAAGTTCCTACCAACAGCATCAGTATTCCATCAGTTGCTGGAGTGTATGACAAGACTATTCATCTACCAACCCAAACAATCTATGGGGATGGTAATTACTCACCTGTAATGACACCCACTTGTAATGTAGCAACAACCGGACTATCAGCTGACTATCTCCAGAGATGTTCTGCTGTACAGCTTGTAAGTTTTTCTATTTTCTATTTTGTTAATGTCTTAATTAATGTATTTGTTGAGCTGAAAGTCAATAACATTGTCAACAAAAGAAATATGAAATATTTTTTATATCAGGAATCATGGAGTGTGAGCCCACAGAGTGTACCCACATTTGTGGCACCAATGGAGGCACAAACAAAAACTAGGCCAAAAAAGTCAAAGAAAAAGACTCCTACAAATGTCTCTCAAAGACAACATGCAAATGCAGAAATGGGAAAACAAACTTCCAACAGTTCAATGGCAAAAGGTAGTAGAAATCTGTCTAAAATGGAAGTGAGACCCATGCAGCAGACCACTGGGGGACAAATGGAAGCAACACTGCATCAGACTCAGAGTCAGAATTCTGCCCCAAATTCTGTAACTCAGAAAGGTGGCAAGGTAATTCAAAAGAACATTAAAAATAAATCCTGATTCTTACAAGATTAATTGCGTGGATTTGTGAGTTGCGCTTTATTTTATAGAAGGGAGTCAAACGCATTGTTGTTCCACCCAAAGTTCAAACAGATCCAGTGGAATATCCTCCATATGTTGCCAGAATTATGAGGATCCTGAACAGACAAAAACAGGTAGGTGTAATAAATATCTGATATCAATCTATATATTTAATAGAAGTCAAGAAGAATAAATGAGTTTTGAAACCTGTTTAAATTTTTGTGATGGATGGTTTCAGGGTCATGGGGAATCTACTGATGATAAAAAAGAAAGTGTTGATTCCACTCCAAAACAAATGACCACTGCTGGTAGAAATGATGAGGACAGAACTGATTTTACTCCTAATCAAGCTACTACTGCTGACAAAAAAGTAATTGACACTGTGAACTCAAGTCTTAAACAAAAGGGACAACAAAGTGTTGTATCAAGAACTCCTGTGCCATCAAAGCAGTCTGCCCAGGAACAAAAGGTAAAAAAAAAAACGTAGAAAAAATATAATTTAATGTGTGAAAGAACATACAATATTTCCAAGATCTTGAAAAAAAAGTAAAATATGTTAAATAATTTCAGCATAAGTCCTTGTCTGGTAGTACTGTCCAGAAGGTCATTGAGAAATGTAGCCAGTTGAAATCTGGGTCCAAACAAGAGCCATTGTCTATTAGAAAGGTACTTTAATTTTGCTCACATTTTGTTGAGATAAGATTGTTTATGACAGAATTGGCCTGATACTGCTTAAATTCATTATGTGCAAAACTGTCCCAAAATGTATTGCATACATTTTGCTTTTGTTGTTTTTATTAATTATTACAATTTTCATCTGGGATAAGAAAACTGAATAATTATACAATATGTTTAACAGACACTCCCAGAGAACTACAGACCAGTGGTTAACACAACCCTGTTGTTAGATGACTTGTTACCTGACAGTTTTACTCTGTTGGAAGCAGACAATTTCTATGGACCAGAGATTCTTGTCACTTCTGACTCTCACTGCTTTGTGGCGTCTGTGCCTTTCTTCTAACTGGACAATAGAGACTTCTGAATGTGGAGAGTGTGGACATTTAGTGATGAAACATTTTCTTAGTGAAATTACAACCGCAGTCTTTCATTAAAAACTTCTGTGATAATTATTTTGAAAGGACTTTCAATTTATTTTATATTTTTTGATCCCAATTGATTTCAGGCATATGACCTCTATATGGGATCAACATTTTATTTAAGAGCACATAGGCCATTATAGTATGTGTATTGTAATTCAGTGCTTTTAAATTCCTTTTTTATGATCATGTGCCAAATGTTTTTTTTTTATTTCTTGAATTTAAAAATTTCTGCATGTTTAAAAATCAATTGTGTTGGTAATTGTTATTTTTGCAAATAAAATTGCATCTTTTTAATATGGTTTTTTTATTGGATAGTAGACTTTCATCAAACCTTGGCTGATTCAATATTTCCATCTGTATATAACAATGAAGCCCGAATCTGAAACAAGAGATAGCATGACTGAACTGTAAGAATGACATTTGTACACATTCTTTATCCCAGGTTTTTAAAAAATGTTATTACATTAAAACACAGAATTAAGTTTTGGTACAATTTCTCATGAGTACTAGTAACACTTTATAATGTAAAACAGATTTCTCTTATGCTGAAAAATGACACATTTATAGCAACGAGGACTAATCAAAGAATTTCTATACTTCATACATCCTATGCAATAACAAAGAACAGTTTGAAAAGAACTCGTATTAAAAATAAATTCAAGGGAATTTTTTTGGGTGGGTTGGTGGTGGTGTCAATATCCAATCAAAAAATCAAACTCAGAAATTCTATGACCAGGAAAATAAGGGTAGATATATGTATAATATTTTAGATATTACAGATTAAAGGAAAAATTAAAATTTTTTTAAAAAAATCTATTGTGTGTATGTGTGTGTTGTGGGGGGGGGGGGGGGGTCATTATAACAACTTCTTATGTCATACGTACGACTTATACGACTTAGTGTATGTTGTAAATACGGCTCATTACTGTATATCGTTGTTGCATTAAAATATCCTTAGTACATGTATCTCATTATAACGACTTAAATTTTTCTATTAAGTGTGTACATTAATTAGTATGTATAAACATTAAAAGCAAGGAATTTGATCCATTTTATTCTCTGATTATTAATTTAACTATAATGTTAAACGTTGTTCGTTTTATTGATTGACTGGGTTTTTCAAGGAAAAACTGTCTTAAATGGCCACTTTCCAAACTTTCCTAAGGTGGCCTCTTAAAACAGGTTTGACTGTACTCAATTTAGTTTAAAATTACAAAAAATTCCAATTAAAAATTATATATAATTGAGTTACATGTATGCTCACTCCTCCATGGTACCTGATCCCACCTCTGATGTTTGGAGGTCCGTGTTTGCTCTGCTCCTATTTTGTATTGTTTAATGGACTTTTGAGCTTGAATACTGTTCGTTATCTCCATATATTTCATGTAGGTTATACAACAAACAGACTGCAGAATACATAGATCTAGAGATATGTCATGTATAGTAATCAGTTGTTTCGAATTATTTTTTTAGTTGCTTGATACACTTTGTCCAGTTCATGTAGAACAAATACCAATGCTGTTTTCAATTTTGATAATCTTCCCTGACTGAAAATAGCTGGAGCAAGCTGATCATGCAGCACGGACCAAGAGTATCAAAGTGCTGTGAAACTGAAAGAATAGTTTTCGGAAAGAAATATGGTGGATATCAGCGAGTGGGTATGAAACAGGTCCTACAATAATGAATTTATTGAGTATTCAAGAATTTACCAGCGGAACCAATATCAAGGTTTGATGTCTGTCAGATATTGAAAAGACAGTATCTTCCGATATCAAGCGTATTTTGACCCTTGACATTGTGACCTCAAAATCAATAGGAGGTCATCTACTCTTCAGGGGGCATAAGTGTACCAATTATGTCTGTCGAGAAATGGGTTCTCAAGATATTGAGCTGACAACCTTGGGGAGGGGAGGGGGGGGGGGGCAAAATAGTGGAAAAACCAAAACTGCAGGGTGTAACAGACACAAAGCTGCATAATAAACACAGTCCCAGATAGCAAGACTACATCGGGCCAACGTTGGTTGATGGTTGGTAGGTTGGTATAGTGTTGGCGTTGGGCGGTAAATGTTGGCCCAACATAGGCCCAACGGATGATATGCTGGCGTGAAAGCTGGTCCATCGGTGTTGGGTATGCGATGTTGGGCCAATGTTGGTCCATTGTAGTAAATGTTGGCATGAAACGATGACCATTATATGTTGGGCATTTGATGTTGGCCCAACGTAGGTCCAACCAAGTAGGTGTTGGCTTAAAACAAAGCCACTAGCTGTGTGTTGGGATGTAATGTTGGCCCAACATAGGGTCAACCAAGTAATGTTGACATGAAGGCACCGTGTAATTCATGGACTGGAGGCATGGAGTGGAGTTATGGAGTGGAGTTTGGAGTGGAGTTTGGAGTCAAATTTTGGAGTCTGATTTTTTTTTAATTTGATTTTTGCTATTTAGAACAAAATTCTTCAGGTGACAACTCTGTAGTCTTATAATTATCCCTTGTTGCTATACAGTACCAGCAATTGCAACGTGTAACATAACTCCTGTTACTAAAATTAGGTTACAAGTATCTTGTTGAATCACCTTAAAATCTGTTCAAAAACAGACAAATAATGTTTCTTGCTACTTTTTTAGATGGTGTCATTCATGCCCGTTTGATACTCCGTAATCCATTTTAAGGTATTTTTCTGCTCCTTTGGCCTGAAATTTTCCAATTGTTTAAGCAAATATATTCTTTGTTGCAATATCCCCAAAATAAGAGTTACTGAATGTGAGCTTTACGTTGATCAATCTTGGTATAAATATCAGATTTAATTTGTCTTACTGATGTATAGAATAAAGATATAAAATTCTTCAGGTGACAACTCTTAAGTATTGTTATATTACCGTGTTGCTATTAGAAGTGATGCGTGTGTTCCTTGGAAAAGTGTAGATGAACATTTTAGTTCATATTTCTGTAACTTAAAACTAGAAATATTCCATAGGACATGAATGCCCCGTCCAGTGTATATTAGTAATGCAACATGAAAATTTGTATCAGTGTATGAAGTTTGAAGTGAATATCTTGAATAGTTTCTTTAAAATTGAAATTAAAATCTAAAAAAATTGGATATAGATGATAAATTCTCACCAAATTATGTATAAGTGCATAAGCTTATGCATAAAAATATCTTAAATGTTTTTTTTAAAACTAAGCAAAATGCAAATTAAAGAAAAGCGAGGTCAAGGTCACAGGAAAGCCTAAGGTTAAAATATTTCATATAAGTATCAGCATATTAAGTTTGATAAACATATCTTGAATGGTTTATTTAAAATTGAGCTGAACATTATTTATAAGAAAAGTGAGGTCAAGGTCAAAAGAAAGGTTAAGGTCAAAAATTGTTAACATCACTATGTATCAGCATATGAAGTTTGATTACACTATCTTGAATGGTTTCTTTAAAACTGAGCTAAACACTAATTTAAGAAAAGCAGGTCAAGGTCAAAGAAAAGGTCAAAGTCAACAAATGTTTACACAATTAAAAAGCTATCACCAATACCTATCAACATATGAAGTTTTATAAAAAAATATCTTGAATAATATTTTTGAAACTGAGCTTTGAACTGAGCTAAATGCAAAGCTTGACGGAAGGAAAGAAGGACGGAAGACAGACATGACAAACTCAATATGCCCCGGCCATATTCATAGCGGGGCATAAAAAATATTATGAAGTAGACTAGTGGTATGCTTTTTTAAATGTTTATTTGAATTATTAAAAAATATCAATTTTGATGATTTTTCATGATACTCATTAATCAAATTTCTTAGTAATATTAATTAGAGCTTTTTTCACAACCAAATTTATACTTATGAAAGACATTGTATCAGTCGTATTTAAAAGCTTATGTTTTAGGATTTGAGATAATAACAAATATTCATTAAGATATTGATTGTTAGAACAAGTCAGTCGAAGATCACATTATCTAGCTATTACCTTAATCTCAGGATTGATATTATATTAATGTTAATCTTTATTTAGACAGATTAATCTTCTGGTCCAACTCTTGAAGTTAAATCTTTTCCCTCGCAAATGAATTACCTATAATTAGTGTACTTTAATGAATAACATACTGATGTGAATAAATGGGTCTGTTATAATTGCCTAACACTGCCTGCATGCTCTTGTATAAATGACTCTTGACAGATTATGTGGGACATACAGTGGCTGCATCAAATTCCCGCAAATTTTTTTCAGATAAGGTCATGGGTATTAATTTCACTCTCATTGTCAAAAAGTGTGTTATCTAAAACAGTGACAGTTTATTCTATGTTTTAATCAAATTTAACTGTTACATAAATGATGATCACCATAGCTTTCAACACATAATTGGAAGGTGATAAAACCCTTTGAATTAAATTTTAGCTTTCTGTCACATCTTTGTTATGTCTGCTAAAACGTTTATAGGCTTTTGACCACACAGCTGAACAATGTGGGTTAATATATCGTTACAAGGTTGTTTGTAGAATAAGATTGATGATTTTTCTCTCTATATAATTAACTGTAGATATGAAACCATCAATTTTGTATCTTGAAATGTGAATTAAAAAAAAGATTATCAATAATTCACATACATTAACTTAAATAATTCAATAATATTATGATACTGTAATATGAATACAATACATTGGTGACTCACAATTTTTATCAATTTAGAAGTTAATGGGAAGGAATGCACTGTGATGCTTAAGTTAAGGGATGATAATATTTGTATAAACTCCCATATGATGCAATGATTTTAATGCACATGCTGTTCAAGTTAATTCAACACTACATCACATACTCCAAAATTAAAAGGTCATCGTTCACTGTTTAAGGACATACGCAACGTACCTTACCTACTGATAATTTTTCAAGATATTCTGAATTTAAGATTATAGTGCCATCAGATGTTCATAGACAAAAAATCAGCATGCATTACCAGGGGTTTCGAAAAGATATCAATGAAATTTCTTGTATAATTTAAAGAAAAATATACAAAAATTACTAAGCATATATTCTCGGTGTTTTGTTTATCCAAACTTGTTTTAGAAGAAGTGTACAACAGCTAGCATATTTAGACATAAAAATGTAGCAAACAGTTCCTTCAAGTATTGAAACTCTTCAACTCCAGGAAAAAACACAATAAAGTTCAAACTACGTTACGTATGTCCTTAATC